CATTCTAGCTAAAGATTTATAGAAAGCAAGACGAAGTGGATACTTTTTTGTTATACATTTTTAAAAACTCCTCATTGTTCAAAGATGGTATTGCACTTATAACAAATAAAAACATGTCCTCTTTTGGAGAAACCTCCAAAATTAGCTGCTTAATATGTTGCCGTTGATGCAGCTGCTCTGTCCTATGAAGGTGGCACTTGCAATGTCCTTTGGTTTCTGTAACACACAGCACACCGAGGGTTCTTTAATATGAATAATTTCTAGAGCAAGATGCTCAAGGAGAGAAATATAAAATGGAACCCCTTTAAATAAGATTCTATGACATTCCTTAATGCTTTTTTTAAAATCCTACTTTCCTGATTTTACTTTTTTGTGGTTTATTCAATTTTTCTGAACTGGGTAATTTATTTGGATTAGTGCTCTCCCAAGTTTATGTCAACTGCAGTAGGTTCTTATTTGTTCATTCTGTTTGACTTCCTTGGTATCAACACTCTCCCTGAAAGAACAGAGGACTAGAAAATGGGATCATGTTATTTAAATCACTTAATACTTCTTGAAAGAGCCCTGGTGGTGTAGTGGGTTACAAATTGGGCAACTAATTACAAATCGCTTGTGGGATAAAGATGAGACTTTCTACTCCTGTAAAGATTCAGCCTCTGAAACACACGGGGCCAGTTCTGCTTGATCCTACGGGGTCACTGTGAGTTTGAATCAACTTGATGGCAGCACATTTGCATTTCTTAAATTTAATATATAAGTAATATGAGTTGTGGTCAATTAATGTGGTCCTGTTCCTTAGATGATGCCTTATCATTCTGGACTTTATATGTCTGGACCTATGGTACCATTTAGAAGGGCATTCATCACTATGCTAATGGGCAGGGGTGGGATGCGGGATTGAGATCTGACTTTGGTGGAGGGTGTGGCCTGGGCTACTCTTTTGTTTCCTTGATGATATACTTAAGGCCCCACATTAATACTGGGTGTGAACTAGTCCACACTCTTTGTTTTTCTTGGATATATAGGGGTTCCCCCTACAGTGGCAAACACATCTCCTCACATGGAAAGCAAGATCTCGATTTCCTGACTCAGCTTTAGTAGAAGCAAGAAGATCTACTGTGGCCTTTGTACATTTTTGGCTTCCAGCTCTGGTTTGACTCTGGACCCTGCACTTAGCTTGCTTATGTTCAGAGCCCTTGCATAGCTGTTACACCCTTGGCTGCGATCCCAATGTCCTCAGTTCTATGTACCAATTGGTCCATGGGAGAAAGGGAGGGCTTCCTGCTCCAGTGAATAATTACAGTCTTGGAAACTCACAGGGGAGTTCTAGGAATCAGTGTCAACTTGATGGCAGTGAGAGGTTTTTTTGTTTTTTTTTGCGGGGAGGCAGGGGGAGGGATAGAAATGTTCCTGTGCCTTGAATTTCCCATCTACCATCACTGGGAAATTTCCTCGATATTTGTGAGTTTCTCTGGGAGAACTGTGTGTGTGTGTGTGTGTGTGTGTGCATGGCTGGGTGGGGGAGGGGCGCGGTCGGGTGTGTGTGTGTGGAGAGTAGGAGGGGCGTGGAGCAATTAGCTGAGTAGCACCTTGGAAGAGTTGGACATTTGGAATATATTCCCTCTCCAACTCCTTGGAACTCAAAAGAATCCCACAAAAACTCACTGCCATGCAGTTAATTCTGATTCATAGTGATCCTATAGGGCTTAGTCATCCTCCTGGAACTGAACTCACTTCTATGTCAGCATAATCAACCCTACGAGCTCAAAGGGCAGAGGGTTAAGATAAAAGGAGGACTGCAAGCAGGAAACAGTGGAAGAAAGTGGGATAAGTGGTGGCAAACCTGGAAGATTGAGATGGAGGAGCTGAAACAAAAGATGTACAACGTGTTGAATGGAAAACTTGTGATTTATTAGGTATACCTTCACCTACATCACAAGAAAAATAATACACACTTGTATACATATATTATTGCTGTTGAGTTGTTCCTTTCTGTTTTTTCCCCTTCTCAATTAGTTATTTATTTATTTTTAAATATCATTTTATTGGGGCCTCACACAATTCTTTTTTTTAAACCATTTTATTGGGGCTCATTCAACTCTTATCATAATCCATCCATCCATCCATTGTGTCAAGCACATTTGTACATTTGTTGCCATCATCATTCTCAAACTATTTTATTTCTACTTTAGCCCTTGGTATCAGCTCTTCATTTTCCCACCACTTCCCTATCCTTCCTCCCTCATGAACCCTTGATAATTTGTAAATTATTATTTTGTCATGTCTTACAATGTCTGACTTCTCCTTTCTCTCACTCTTCTGTTGTCTGTCCCCCAGGGAGGAGGTTATACATAGATCATTGTGATAGGTTCCCCCTTTCTAACCCACCTTCCTTCTACCCTCCTGGTATCACCACTCTCACCACTGGTCCTGAGGGGTTCATCTGTCCTGGATTCTCTGTTTCCAGTTCCTATCTGTGCCACTATGTATCCTCTGATCTAGCTGGATTTGTAAGGCAGAACTGGGATCATGATGGTGGCAGGGAGGAAGCATTAAAGAACTAGAGGAAAGTTGTATGTTTCATTGGTGCTATATTTCACCCTGACTGGCTTGTCTCCTCCTCATGACCCTTCTGTAAGGGGATGTCCAGTTGCCTACAGATGGGCTCTCCACTCTGCACTCCCCCTCATTCACAGTGATATGATTTTTTGTTCTTTGATGCCTGATACCTGATCCCTTCCACACCTTGTGGTCACACAGCCTGGTGTGCTTCTTCCATGTGGGCTTTGATGCTTCTGAGCTAGATGGCCACTTGTTTATCTTCAAGTCTTTAAGACCCCAGATGCTATATCTTTTGATAGCCGGACACCATCAGTGCTCTTTACCACATTTGCTTATGTACCCACTTTGTCTTCAGAGATCATGTTGGGAAGGTGAGCATCATGGAATGCCAGTTTAATAGAGCAAAGTGTTCTTGCGTTGAGGGAGTGAAGGCCCAACGTCCAGTTGCTACCTTAATACTAAACATGTAAATATATGCACAAAAATCTATTTCCCCAGCATCATATATAAATATATTTTACATATGTACATACCTATATTTAGACCTCTATAAATGCCTTTTGCCTCCTAGTTCTTTCCTCTATTTCCTTTTACTTTCTGCATCGCTAAAAAGCAGTGATGAACGATAGAGCACATCACCACATGGGAAGAACTGGAGGAAATCATGCTAAGCGAAGCAGGTCAAACACAAAGTGACAAGTACCACATGGGTCCGCGGAGGTAAGCTTAAAAAAATGCAAAAGCGACATCGAGTTGTTTCTTTTATAAGCAGTGTAGAGCTTCTCGGTAGAATTTCCAAGGCAATAAAACTTTATGGGAATAACCTGCCTTACCTGTCTTCTATGAAGAGCTGGCGAGTTTGACCTTTTGGCCTTTTGGCTAGCTAAAACCCTTCACTATGAGAGATCCTTCCTTTTCTTATTGGTAAAGTTTCAAGGATTCCAATCCTTCTTTGACTGGTAGAGATGAATTTTAATGAAATCAACCTGGTGTGCCCCTGAGAGTGGGACCTTTAGTGGAGGTTTCTAACAGAATATGGAGGTGTAGTGGAGGAATTGTTATTAAATAGAGAATCATACCATCCACTAATTGCCAACCTCAGGTCATGGATCGTGATTTCACAGAGACTATTTATTCATCTGGAAACCTTGGACAGTGCAAATAGTTAATATGATGGCTGCAAAGAGAAAACTGGTGGTTTGCTGTTTCTCAAAAGAGTGTCTGTAATCGCAGCCTGAAAACTCAGACTTTGAAAGCCCTAGGGAGCACATTCCCACGGATACACATGAGGTCTGTGAGTTGGAATAGCTTTGATAGAACCATGTGTTCCGCACCCACTGTGACGGCTCTAAAACAATGCTATGTGTGGGCGGGGGCAGGGATGGGGCTGTGATGGGAGGATGCCAAGGATTCTTCTGGAAATGGAGCTGTTGTTGTGTCTCTTACCAGTGGTAGTGAGTGTTTGAAAGTACGTGAGCCAACACTGCAAACACACACACACACACACACACACACACACACACACGTGAAGTAAAAGTGGGGAAAGCTGGATAAAACCAGTAAATCATACTTGTATCAATATCCTGTTGTGATATTATAATATAGTTTGGCAAATTGTTACCATTGGCAAAAATCTGGGCAAACAGTACACACGACCTCGATTAGTTCTTATATCTGGGCACAAATCTAGTATATTAAAAAATATTAAAAGCTCAATAAAAAGGTAACATTTCAACTTCATAATACTTGTAGCTCTTATCCAGGAAAATAACTGCCTGAGACTCAAATACAGTTCCAGGATTCCCATGAGCAAAACCTATATCATCACTGCCTGTATAAATCATATCTTCATCATTTAGTTGTACTGAATGGCCAATTTGACATTAATTTTGAATGGTGATAAGTTTTAAATGACTACATTCAATAAATTGTAGCTTTATGTAAAACACTTATTTGACAGTGTTCTAAAAAATCTTAAGTTATGCCAATACAAGAGAACATAATTTAATGTAACTACCTAAAACTTAGTGATGAATTTACTGCTATAAATTCTAAGTCCCAGGAAAAAAGAAAAGAAAGAAAGAAAAAAGGAAAAGAACTGAAAACAAGACTCACTGTATCTAGTCCATACTGGCTCAAAGTGGCACGCTAAGATGAGCGAGCGCCACATCCTCCCCCCCAAGGCTGCAAGTCTGCATGGAAGCACCGGGCCACGCCACCGCGGGAGACGCCAACGGCCTGGCTTGTGATTCTGATTGCAGCTGAGCACTTTAACTAGAGTGTCACCTGTGCGCCTACAAGGTTTTCTCTGCTACAGACAACATTTTTTCGACATTCAGTATGTTTTTAAAACAAGCAAGTATAAAATTAGATGGCAAATAAATATTTAAACTATATGTACTTAGTAAAGCAGGCGTGCATAATTGCCTGATATTTACCTTGATGGCAGGAACAGGCTTTCTCGGCATAAAATCCTTTCTCTCCAGTGGTGGAAAGGCCGACGTTTGCTCTCTCAGTCTAATCTTGTTCTCAGCGATGATTTTCTTGCGCTGCTCAAGATAAGGTCCAAAACTTGGAAGTTTCTAAAAGGAAAACACACAAATAAGAAATCACGCTAGCTCCATGTGATGACCCAAGTACATACATGTTATCAACAAATGCGTGTGTGGTCTGCAATTGCTGTATGTGTATGGTATGTGGTTGTTACATAATTTCATTTCAACTTGAAGTGTAGGGTTGGAAGCTAGTCTGTCCATCAGGTCACAGCCTGATAGTGCCTCATTGTGGGTGTGAGCTCCTCATAAGGTGGGTTCTAGAAACCGACCCCTCTCTTTCTGCCTTCACCTGCCTGCTCTTCAGTCACTTGGAGAGCTGCCTGAGTCACCACTATTGGGTTGAAGGGACTTTGTACGCACCGGCTGGTGATGTTCCTCCAGTCTGCACCATTGCATGTGACCTCGTGAATCTGATGAGTTACTTATAAGTAGTAATGGACTTATGGACTAGTATTGGACATACGGATTTAAACTGTACTGGGCTGGGATGTTTTCTTGATATATAATGGACTTTTCGATATAAAACTCTTTCACACGCATATGAGTGTCACTGGATTTGTTTCTCTAGTCCATGTGGGATAACACACTGGAACAAGAATCCCATTTATTTTTGGACCACTAATCTTCTAGGTATCAGATGGCAATACTGTGAGGGTGCAGGGCGGGTGGGTTGGAAAGGGGGAACCGATTACAAGGATCTACATATAACTTCTTCCCTGGGGGACGGACAACAGAAAAGTGGGTGAAGGGAGACATCAGTCAGTTCAAGATATGACAAAATAATAATTTGTAAATTATCAAGGGTTCATGAGGGAGGAGGGAGGAGGGAGCAGGAAGGGAGGGGAAGAAATAAGGAGCTGAGTCCAGGGGCTTGGGTGGAGAGTGGATGTTTTGAGAATGATGAGGGCAATGAATGTACAAATGTGCTTTACACAGTTGATGTATGTAGGGATTGTGATAAGCGTTGTATGAATCCATAATACAATGATTAAAAATGATAATAATAAAATAAAACAGAATTATGATATCTTTATTAAATACGTATGCATTAAATGTGCAAATGTTAATTAAAATCTATTCTTAAATATATAATAAAGTTCACCATGTTCAACCAAATCCATTCATTTAAGACAATAGGTATCGTTAAACCATTTATTTGGATTTTAGAGACAGAAGGTGAGACCTATTGATGCTCTTTTTCCCCCTCCATGAGGTTTTATCACAACATAGACACAGCTGTTGTTCCTGACAAATGCTTTTGTCAAGAGCAAAAGTACTTTGCCAAAGTTTAATCTGTAACTATATTCTATTGTGCTCAAATTCTTACTACATCTCTTTAAAGACGATAACTAATGCTGATTGCAATTTACTGGAATAGCTGAAAAACAAAATGGTAAAACTATTGATTTCCCTGTACGGAAAACAAAGTTCATTTTGCACGAACAGGGCAAAAACAGAAACAAAAAGCAGAGGAAACACCCCGTGCTTCAATAAACTCCATTGGTGTTCAAGATCACATTACGGAGCTTGACAGCTCAAGGTTATTTCATTGTACTTTGTGAAGTTCACTGGTCAGGATACCTGGGTGTCATGGGAAAACGTGAGTGGTTTCAAGTTAACACAGAAATGCCCTCTGATCATACTTTATCCTACAATTATTTCCTCTTCACTTTGTCCTTCCCCTTCTCCGGAGCCTTTGATCTTTGCTTGCACTGACACACACTGCTGATGGCAGGCACCACTGAGTTTCAAATGCTTTTGTGCTGGATTGTAACCTGGAAGGGCAAGGTCTCTTCTGTAAGACTGCAGAAATGCCCCTCTCTTTATTGAAGGATAATTCCATTTATCTAGTTGATGGAGGTTTGGAAAACTACAGCATTCCAAGGTCAACCAGATCTCTGACCTAGCAAATGCTTACGCAAAACAAACAAACAAAATCATCCTTTTCCAGCACACTGGCCTCCATTTGCCAGGTTGCATAAGGCCTAGGAAGATGAGCTGTCTGATCCTCTTGAGTTCTCAGAATGTACGAAAATCGAGCTAAAACTGCTACTATAACTTTATATTAATGAAGAACGTATTTACTGGAAAAACCTGATTGTTATTCATTATCAATTAATTGTAATTCTGTCAACAATTCAAGCAAATAGAAACAATGGTGGAAGGCCATATTAAACTAGAATGAATATTTAATATCAGCACTTTCATACTTTCCTAAACTATAAAACTTAGGGGTTTCAGTTATGGACCATGACATGGTGGAGACAAAGCATTCTGAATTTGTTTTTAACATCCAACAAAGGACTCTGACTTGTTAAAAAATAAAAAATTTTAAAAGATCAAAAGTCAAACTTTCAATTCCCCCATGTATAAGTAGATTTAGGAATAGAGAAAAGGCAATGCATGTTTGAAAAGCCCTCTTACGAAATGGCTTCTTCTCCCACAGGCGATGTGGCGTTAGGAAGGAATTAGGGCGGGGCCAGCGACATGCCCTTGTGTTCCAGATAACACCTCAGAGGGTGACAAGCGCATGTCCACATGATAGAAATCTTTTCAAAATGTCACTCTGTCCCCACTGTTCTCATAGATCAAAGGAAACAAACATTCTAATCTCACATTCTTGAAGATTGTAAAGGACGGTTCAGTGTTAGAACACGTGACCTCTGACTCTGGCAGACCCTCCTTCCACCACTGTCCTTGGGAATTTGACGCATTATTGGGCTTCCCTGATTGGCTCTTATTTCCACTTAAGAGTTTTGCAAAGGTTTTTAAAAAGAACATATACCTGGAAACTTTTGAGTTATGTTCCCTTATACCTAGAACAAAGGACATTTTTCTATCAATGTTATTCTTATTAAATGGAAAGAAATAATGCAGTCAAATTTACCTCATGATGATGTAATAATAATTATTATTATTATTATTTAACATTCCCTTAATGTGGGACAGAATAAACTGGGTAAACTTCTAATAGCCTTATAAAATATAATTATTTTTATAATTATTTTAGCTGTGGTTGATCACCTTTCCCATCTATAAATTTGTCATACTGCCTTTTCCTGGTTAACAGTGATATGATTCTAATGTGTTCATCTTTTTTAATTAGTCCCAAGGAGAGCTTCTTAATTTAATGTAAATATTGCTATAGGATTTTCTTTGAATATTAGTTAGAAAATTCAATGGAATACAAGGAAAACTATTGCCTTTTTAAATTTCAATGGAAAGTACAGGAAAATATCTGCAACTATTTCTGCAAACTTCCAAGACATCTACAAATCAAATAGAGTCCAGTTGTGTGTGATTCCTCATTGCCTTGTTGAGATCCTAGAAGCTGAGGTGGAGTTTCAGCCTCCTACAATCTAAGGTTTACTTTCCCACTCATTCCCAACCAGGCCATTCTGGCTCAAGGTGACCTTCTGGGGTAAAGTAGACCTGTGCCTGTGGGTTTTCAAGGCTGTAGCTCTTTAGGGAAGTAAAGAGCCTCGTCTTTCTCCCAAAGAGGTAGTTCCCTTCCAACTGCTAGCCTAGCTCATAACCCACTAGGCCACCAGGGCATCTGAGCATGAGACAATTAAGTGTTCATCATTACGCTGTATAAATTAAAACATTTGGGGCATTTTCAGTTACTGAATATTTAAGATTCCCGAAAATGTAAATGGCCAGAGAATCATTTCGTCCCCACTGTGTTTAGGTATATACTCTTATATCTGTTTTGATTTTGCCCACTCCCCCAAATCAAATCAAAGTAAAATATAACAAAGAGAGATGAAAATGAATGCAGAGTTGGTCACTGTGTACGTGTGCAATCAGTAATGATTAATAAAGCATTTAGTTCAAATCTCTGCCCGAGCATACAGTTAATTGATTTCCTATTGCAGGAGGGGAAGCAGCAGGGCCCGACGGAGGCAGCAGCAGGAGCTTTCCCTCTTTATTCATTATGTTCTCACAGAAACGTTGTAGCCTGGGGTCACTCAAAGGGAGAGGTTTTGAGCATCGTGCTATATTTCTTAAACAAAGGAAAAAGTTCTTTTGGACCATCAAAACCTGCTTTGTTACAGATGAACTGAACAAAGCTCAGAAATGGTGTGATTTTTGTTTCGATAGTTTCTCCTGGGATACATCATTGATGAATTTGTTCTCACCAGAAAGGCTAAATCCTACTCATTTAAAGATAACAGTATCTCACGCTAAAACGGTCTCTCTCCGTTTTATATAAAAAGCATTACGTTGCCGATAGAAAAGTGACAACATAATGAATCAGCAATGATACCTTAAGCCAGCAAAGCTTTAAGGTAAAGACGTCTATTTGGATTATAATTTATTCATAGATCAATCTAAAGGTAATTGAGCATATTATGAAGTAGAAAAAGGTTCTTGTTCTTAATAGAAACAGGCACTGGTATCTTCCAGTTTAAACTGCATAATTTTTTATGAAAATGGTAGCAAGTTGGTTAATCGTATTGGTCTATAGTGCTGAAATGGATCAACTCTATTTTCCTAATCATACTCTCCTATCTGATTGAGAGCAATAACAGCAAGAAAAGTAATTACTTTGATATCTAAGTGGTAATAAGTGCAAAGATAAAAGGATTTATACTGAGTGCAATGTGCTTGTATGTATGCATGTGTGTACCCAGAAAGATGGGGTGATAAATTAGACATAATGGATATGTATGTCACCATTATATAAAAGTTGACTTCGTTTAATCTTTACAAAAGGCATGTTCCACATATGACATAGTTATATAGTTTCTCTATCTTTCATTATTTCTTCAACTCGTATATACAAGGGGAAAGGTCTGCTCTGGGCCAGGCACTCTCGCTACATGAAAGGCTATCTAAATTCCATAAGGTAGGTATACATATATCATTGCTTTTAATTTTGTGATCTTTTGCTATTTATTTTAAGTTAGTGCTTGATTGAATAAATATCAAGTACACTCAGTCTTCTCTTCCTTTGGAGGAGTGGCTGGTGGTTGGAACCACCCATCTTGTGGTTAGCAACCCAATGCTTAACACACTGTGCC